AGATGGAGAGCTGGAGCATGATGAAAAAAAGAAAGTTAGCAGATGCAGAAAGCTGCGCCAGCAAGTGCGGATGCAGGTGCTGTCACCCATGCGCGTTTACAAACGCTCGTCACACGATGAGCCGTAAAAAAGTCTCCACAAGGTTCAAATCATTGAAATCATGCAGAGTCGCTTCTCTAATTACAATACAATTATACTAGAAATCACTAACAAAAACACAGAAAATATTTCTCTTTTTGGGAATAAAGAAATATATGTATAAATAACCTGTGTGTCACAAAAGAAATCAAAATGAGAACCACTTCACAATATGCTGTACTAGATGATAACGAATGTGCTGTACGTGGCAACAGGTGGACACAGCTCCTGCACGCTTTGGTACAACTGCATGTGCTTACCTTCACGTATTGAAAACAAGAAAAGACTCAGCAGTAATGAATGAAGCATTCACCACGTGAAGTTCCCGAAAGAGCAGTGAAGTGAGTCCAAAACAAAGCAGAAGAAAGGAAATAACAAAAGCAAGATCAGAAACGAGCGATGTCACCGATCTCAAGGATGAGGGGGAGGGGCTGGGCGTTCAAGCAGCCGACTCCCTCCAGCAGGGTCCCCAGGGCTGTTCCACCTTCCTCACTGTGTCCCCCACTCTGGGGCCTGGGGCAGGAGGCAGCTGGTGTCCTGCTGCTGGCCCCGCAGTGAGGGTGCTGCACTTGGCCGTGCGTCTCCCTGCGTGCTGCCCGCCCCTCTGCTGCAAGCCTCTCCGTCAGCTCTCCTCCTGTGTTCTGGTCTGGACATGCCATCGGTGTCCTGCTGGCCCCTCCCAGCGTGGGCCAGAGGCCATGCTGCTCCTTGGCCCCTCCCCAGGCAGAGGGTGCACTGTGAGCGTGGAGCCCAGGTGACCCTGGGAAGAGATTGCTGTGGAAACACAGTGCCTGTGCTCTTCCAGCTAGGCTGGGCTCTGGGGGCCGGCCCAAAATAGCGGCCCCAGGACATCACCCTCTGAGGTTCTGGAAACAGAGAGAGCAGAGGCTGGCCCAGCAGAGCCCTGGACTCCAGGCTTCACACCAACAAATAGGGCCCCAGGACAGACAGAGGGCCTCCAGGAGGCTGTGGACACTCCCATCATATAATTCTCCCCAACCCTGCACCATGTTGCCCAGGTTGGGGCAGGAGTCCTACCTGGAGAGAGAATGGCCAGTCTCCTATGCAGCAGGCAGACTTGAAGGTGGTCCTGATCCTGCCCCTGGTGTTCTGCCCTGGTGGGATCTCCCTGAGTCTGGTGGACTTGTGACTTGCTTCCAACCAACAGAGCAAGGCACAGGTGATGGGGTGCACTGATCACGTGGCATCTGATCGTAGTGCCACCTCTGGATATGCAGCCACCACACTGTCAGCAGCCATGCAGGGGCCTCATGGCAGGAAGGGAGGGCAGACTCCTCAACGGCCAGCCGGGAGCAAGGCTTCAGCCCACAGCCACATCCCGAGTGAATCCTGCCAACATGGCCCTGGGTTTGGAAGCAGACTCTTCCCCACTTGAGCTTTCAGATGAGACCTCAGTCCAGGCCAGTGCCTTGACCTTGGGCTCACAGTGGCCTGGCTAAGCTGGGCCTGGACTACTGACCCACAGAAATTTGAAGGTAACAGACACCTGTGGTTTTAAGGCTTATGTTCACTAAGCCTGTTATGCAGGGGCAGCCAACATAGAGGCATGCACCATGTCCTGAAGGCTCACCCCACTCAGACTTCTGCAGTTCAGGGAGTCGTTCAACATGCACTCCTGGTGTCTGTTGTGCCAGGCCCCATCCTAGACTGTGGGCACAGCAGGACACAAGACAGAGGGGTCTCTGCTCTCCTGCTGGTGGGAGAGATGGAGGACAAACAAGTCAACCAAGAAAGGAGGCCATTCCAAATGGGGAGTGTGTGGAGAGGACTTTAAATGGGACGCCTCGGCTCTGAGTGGGGGAGCAGAGAAGGAGCTTCAGCCTGCAGAGAGGGCCCCGCGTGCCTGGGGTGGGCCCAGAGCTGGGGACGGGATGCTTGAGATCCATGGGGCACAGGCAGCAGCCGGACGAAGTCTGGCCTTCTTGGAACCAACGAGAGTTTGCATCTTAGATTTGGATTGAGCAGTCTGAGTAGTGCTTTGGGAAGCTCCTCCTCAGTGACCCTGTGGCATGGGACACAGATTGCAGAGGGACAGGAGAAACCGTGGAGTCCTCCAGGCAGGAGCTGTGGCAGCGGCAGTGGGAAAGACAGGCTGTGGCGATGTGGGCCAGCAGGTTCCGCAGGGACTGGACCGTGAGAGCAGCGGGGCGGAGGCCGACCCTTTGCTGGGGCTGGAGCAGCCACGTGGACGGAGGTGCCCCTCACTGGCATTACCAAGCCAGGGAGGTCCGCCCGCCTGATGCGCATCTGAGCCATGCACGGACCAGCAAGGTTTGCAGTGAAGGAAGCGCGGGCTTTATTGCACCACGCGAGGGAACGGGAGGCTGTCGCTTCACACCTGAGCTGCCCGTTGGCTTTCAATCACTTTAAGGGCAAACATCAAGGGTGAGAGGCTAGGGCTTGTGAGCAGCTCGTGGGCATCTCTGATTGGGTGGCTCTTACGCAAGCTTCAGCAGCTTCTTCAGTCTTCATCTTTTTGGTCCCTGACGTCATCTCATCTGAGTACCTACGTGGTTGGGCAGCTCCAATCTTAAAATCTGCAAAAACAACTTATCTCTGTGAAGCAAAAGTGGATGTGAGGGTCTGGTGACTCTAGTCACTGATGACGCTTGTTTAAACTATTCATACTTGGTGTTTCACTGGCTACATTTTTCTTTAAGACAAGCAGAGCAACCTTGAGGCTCATCTTTACTGTGTTGCGAGTTCCCACACTTGTTTATTAAGCTTTCCATGCTTAACTGCCGTGGCAGTTACAGGCTAACTCTTAAACTAAGCAAAGTACATTTGTCCTCTAAAAATTAGAAGTAAATTAAATGCGCACGGTTGGTTTCACTGGCTGGAGAAGACCTGGCCGAGCAGGCGTGCTCTCGTCTGTTCTGGCCACCCTCCTCTCCAGGGACAGTCTGTGCTGTGCTTGGGAATAAGCCCCCTTCTTGAAGCCCTGCCCTCTTCCCCAGACCCCTCAGATATTTATTTTATTAATTCTGCTCATCAGTCTTGTCCTAGTTGATCTTATATGTCAACTTGGCTAGGCGTGGAGCCCAGTTGTTCGGTCGAATGCCAGTCTAGGTGTTGCCTTGAAAAGGTATGTTGTAGGTGCGATCAGTATCTAAAGCAGCAGACTTCGAGCAATGCAGATTGCCCTCTGTTATGGGGGTGGGCCTCACCCGGTCAGGGGACTGCCCGAAGAGCAAAGACTGAGGTTTCCCAGAGAAGAAGGAATTTGGCCTCCAGACGGGAACGCAGAAGCTCTGCCTGGGTTTCCAGGCGGCCTGCCTGCCCTTGGATTTCAGACTTGCCAGGCCCCATAAAACACGAGCCAATCTCTTAAAATCTCTCTGGACAGGGCTGTGTAGATAGAGAGCAGCTCCCCTGCTCGTTCAGATCCCTGGAGAGCCCACAAGTACAAGGACGTTCCGCCAGAAACATCAGACAGTGTTTCCTCAAAGGTCCCCACACCTGCAGCCCTGGGCTCTGGGCTGCTCAGAGGACAGGCGGGGTGGGGAGAGCCACTGGGAAGGCGAAGGGGCAGGAGGAGAGGCTGTGGAGAACAGAGAGGAAAGCACTGGGTGCTGCAGGGCCTCTGAGCCAGGCACGATGATGGCAGGAAGGCCCTGGCAGGGAGGAGGCTCCAGTGGCTTGAGCCCCGGGCCCCACTCGGCATTCCATCCATGCACCTGGGTCTTTGCTCCTCCTGGGGGCAGAAGGGTCAGTAACATCCTCCCACGGGGGGCAGGGCAGCTTCACGGAGGAGGCTGTGGGGACAAGGATGGCTTGCTGGGCTGATGGCTCTGCCTCAGAGGACCTTGGCCTGGGGCAAAAACACAGCTCTCGGGGCCACTGGAGGGTGGGGCATGGCGCTCTGGTGCCAGGGACGCCTGAAGAGCCTCACCTGAGTCACCGGCACCAGCCCTGCCACAGCCGACCGCATTCGCTGTGACTCCTGTGGTGTTTGCCATGCAGCTGGGGCTGTCTGCGAAGGCAGTTAACCCTCCTTAGTCACTCCTGGCTTCTCAGATTTAGCAAATAAAAAACACGAGATTCAATTAAATTTGAATCTCAGACAAACAAATGATTGTTTTTATCAACATTTGGGACATACTTATGCCAGAACATTACTTATTGTTCATCTGAAGTTCAGGTTTAACTGGGCGTCTTGCTCCAGCGACCCTGAGCAGCACACCAAGCTCAGGACAGAGCCGCAGATGGACAGTGGCTGTCGCATTGTGTCAGGTCACAGGGATGTTGGCAACTTGGACGGAGGGGTCTGGCACAGGCCAGCCAGGTTAGGGAGTCCAGGATGTCATCTCGGGATGTAACTCGTGGTGTGGCAGGGCTGTCTGAAGCCAGCACACAGGGCGCCCACCACCGAGGGTGGCCCTCCAGCTCACCTGGCTCACCTTGCAGCACAGGCAGGTGCTCTTGGAAGGTTTTGGGAGCCTACTCCACCAAGAGCACTAGTCCAGAAGAAACCCCTCCCTCCCAGCACCCCAGGAGACCACCCCCCTCTGACGCTGGGGGCAGCACAGGAGCCCAGCCTGTGGGCAGCGATGGCCGGTGGGCCAGCGCAGGCACCTCCTGGTGACCACCCAGTGGCCCTACGGTGCCCCTACTCCATGTGCCCTGGAGCCTCATGACAAGAGTCCTGCCGGGAGCACTAAGAACCAGGGACTGTGTGGGCCCTGGGGAAAGTGCCAGCCCCTGGCTGGACACCCGTGCCCCAGGAACACTCCCTGAGGCCAGGGTACTGGCCAACACTTTGCTGAGACCGGAGGTCAGGTCGGCAAGGTGGTGGCCCTCAGAACAGCAAAAGGAAAAAGAAGAAAAAAGCCGAGTCCTGGTGCTGAGTGAGCAGAGGCATATTTATTGACCCTGAGAGCAAGGGGTGGCCACACCATGCATGGGAGGCCTGCAGGGCTTCTTGCTTGGACAGAGGTGGCCCTGGCCCTTCAGTGGGTTAACAGAAGAGCAGGCTGGAGGCTGCGCCTGCCCCTGCCTTGTGGTCTTCCTATGATCTCACAAAGTCCAGAACAGCAAGAGACGGGGCCCTGGCTGTGAGGCCAGCCGGTTTAAAGGAAGCAGGCATCACAGGGAGAGTGGGTTTGAAGGCCCTGGGCCCAGAGAAGGGGGCGAGTCCAAGCAGGGCTTCTAAGTCTGCCCACCAGGGATTCAGCTGCTGCCAGGTCTCTGGACAAGGAAGCTCCCGCCTCTGCCCCAACGACCTCCTTCCTCTAAACTCAGGGCTGAAAACCACACCAGAATTCCTGTAAGTCAGGGCTACAGTGGCCCAAAACTGAGGAGCCAGTTACGTGGTGTGACAGAAGAGAGGCCCGTGGGGAAGAGAGGATGGGAAAGGCTATTAGAGTCCGGGGCAGAGGAGGACCAACCCCAGGCTGAGCAGGAGGCCCCCGGACAGGACCCAGGCACTGCCCACTGCCAGGACCCCCGCATTACAGAGGTCCCCCTTGCAACAGGAGGTCTTGGAGCTGACCACGAGGCCCAGGGTGTGCGCGTCCTGAATATCGATTCTGTCGGGGCAGGAGGGGAGGCAGAACTTGTTCTCCAGACTCACTTTCTCAGACTCTGCAAGAGAGGGCGGGTGTGAGTACAGCCCTGTCCCCAGACCTCAGCGTCCCAAAGTCTGTGGCATGTGACTCTGGAAACCACGGGGTCAGGTGGAAGGCCTGGATGGGACGAGAAAGAGCCTGTCCACACTCCTTGACTAAGGGGATGCTGGGGCACAGGAGGGCAGTGACGCCCCAGGTCACCCAGGACACCAGTGGCACCACAGGAAGGGAAGCTAGCACAACAGGGATCAGCCTGGTACCCCGTCCCCGTGTGGAAGGTGGGCAGGCTGGGCAAGGGAGCTGGGCCGCAGGCTCTGGGAGGGGCGTCCTCCTGCCTCAGCTCATGGAAAGATGAAGCCCAGGGGCAGACACGATGGGCAGCCTGGGCAGGTGGGCAGCTCCTCCCCCATCCTCTCCATGGTCTGGCTGATATTCCACCATTCCAGGGCCATTTCTTTAGCTTGAAGCCTCCTGTCTCCGTCAGGGGCAGCAACCCACTGAATGCTCACAGCCACCCGTCCGTCATGGGGCAGGTAAGATCCATGCACGGGGAGGATGAGGGGCCAGGAGTCACTGGGGTGCCCCAAAGGGCCACAGGGGGCAGGAATAGGAACTGTCAGGAAGTGAGGCAAGGGCTCTCTGATGAGGGGTGCAGGTGGGGGAGGGGATGAGATGGTTTCCATGGTGATGAAGGCCACATGGGGCACCCTCTGCTCTACACCTAGGGTGCCACCTGTCCCTGCAAAGCAGCAGCCCTCGGGCTCAGTGTGGGAGCCCAGGCCTTGAGGCCGGCCCCTCCCACTCTCCCCTGCACGAGGAGCCCTGCCTCCAGCCCCACCCGGCCTCCCCGTGCTCCTCCCCTCAGCCCCAGGAGGCCCCCACACCCGTGCCCAGAGTGCTGGGTGGCTTGAAGGAGGGACCCTGGTCCACAGAACAGCTATTTCTCAAAAAAGCTGCCCACTCTGTCGTTGGGACCTCCCCTCCTAACCCCCTTTTCTCCCTAAGACCTGCCCCCTCCCACCTCCTTCCTCCCACACTGTTACCCCTCAACTCACCCACAATGGTGGTCACTTCCTGGGAGACACAGACACCATCCGGGAAGGAGCACACGGCTGGGTGGCAAGAGTTCATGTTCGAGGCCGCTATGCACTGGTAGCACTTCAGACCCTGAGCTGGGGGAGAGAGCAAGGTCAGGGTGACCTTCCATTCCCAGTGAACACATCACCCACTGGGTGGCCACGGCATGTGCCCGGACCCATGGGAATACCCCTGGTGAGAATCCCATGCCCACACGCACACTGCCACCCCCTCTCTTGCACCTGCCACCTGTTCTTACGTCCGTTTCCACACACCTGCCTGCCACACAGCCTCCCAATTCAACCTCATTGTCTGAAATGCACCAGCAGGCAGTGCCCAACCCCAAGCACACACGTGCCCAGCACCCAGAGTGTCAGCAGATATGAGCGCACCCAGCACACGTGTAACGAGGACAGAACGGGCATCAGACAAGTGCACGAACAGACATCACAGCCCACCCTAACCCCCAAGTGTGCATGGCGCCCAAGCACACCCTCCCCGCACGCACTGAACCAACAGGGCAGCTCTCCAGCCCCAGCACAGGAACACTCTGGAAATGCAAACTTCCCTAGACCTCCTTCCCAAGGCACCCCCCACCACCCCCGGCCATCTGACCTGTCTCTGTGCACAGCAGAGCCACCAGCAGGACCAGAGCCAAGGTCTTCATGGTATGGGAACCTCTCATTCTAGGACAAAGGACACAGAGACAAACTCCTGAGAGCTGGAGCAGCCCTCAAGCCCCCACCTCCCTGGGCTCGCAACTGCCCTGGCCAGGAGGAACACCTGGGGCTCCAGTTCTCTCCTGCTCTCCCACCCAGCTGCCCGAAGGCGAAGGCGGCTCAGTCTGCCTCATTCCCCGCCCGCCCACACTCCGCCCTCCCCACCCCGTTCTGCAGATTATCTGCAGAGCCCTGCTCCGGCTCCCAGGCCTTCCCGCCCAGCAGCCTCCCATCCTGCCCCACCTCTCCTCCTTCCTCGCACTGGCCAGGCTGCAGGGCAAGTGGCTGAGGGACGGTCCGGCCACCAGGCAGGTATGATGGGCGTGCCCGCAGAGCAGCCCCTCCCCCGCCCTCCTGGACTGACCAGAACAAGGATAAGCAAGAGAGTTTCTATTTCACAGAAACTTCCTGCTGCAGCAGAAAGTGTCTCCAGGCCAGCTTGCTCCTTGCGCAAGAATTGGCAGTGTCCCTTGCCTATTGCTCCATGGCGTCCAGGCCCAGACTAACCACGCATTCATTCTTCCTTCTTGCAGGGGAGGTGCTCCGAGCAGCTGGTGGGCATCACTGGGCAAGGATGGGCAAGGCAGGCCTGGCACTGGGGAGGAGGGCTGGTCGTCTCCCCTGGGGGAGCTGGGGTGGGGAGGGGTCCCACCCACTGGGTTTCTGAAGGAGGAGCCTCTGGGAAGGCTTGCAGGGGACAGCAGCACTCGTGGAAGGGCAGGTCATCCCCAGTGCGAGGGCACAAAGAGGGAAGACCCCAGGAGGAAGCCTGGCTGCGGCGTCGAGGCCGCGTGCCCTTCCTTCTGTCCTTCAGCCAACAAGAGCCAGAAGAGTTAGCAGGAAGGTCACTGAGCCCTGGAGCTACCGTCCTGAAAAGATGGGGCAAAAGAAAAGCCCCCCAGGTATGGGAGCTCCGGTGGAAAAGAGAGCTGGACACTGCAGCCGAGCAGGTTGTGGCCTGTGTCCCTGCACACCTGTCTTCTCACGCCTCCTCTCTCAAAGCTCCTGCCACGTGATAGATCCCAGCTAACCCCCACACGACCCAGAACGCCTCCACACGAGTGACGCAGCCCGCACTGCCCGCCTGGGTCCAGAGCCGTTGCCGCCGCCCTGGCACTCGCTCTCGGTACTTTGCAACCCGTGGACTCAGAGTCCCACAGAGGGACAGAAAGAAGGAGGAGGCACAGTCATTAACTTCAGTGCAATTAGTGTAACTGTGCTTAATTACAAACAGATTTGATTTGGAAAAAAAAATAGCATTTCAGGCAGTGGTGGGGCCAGATGCCGGGACAAGGAGTCGCAGGGTGGGCTGCGGCCGCGAGGACAGGCAAGCAGCGCCTGCAGAGACGTGAGGCAGGAATGAGATGGCCCACTGTGTTCAAGCCACAGAAAGCAACAAGGGGGCCTCGGGGACAAGGGGACAGCCGGGGAGTTCTACGGGCACTGGTGGTAGGAAGCTCATGGGTCACGGCAGAGACTGGAATCTTGTTCTGAGCAAGCATGGAAGCTTCTGGGGGTTGGTTTTAGATGTCCGGCTCCAGCTGCTGCTGAGAAGGTGTGTGAAGGCCCCGGTGCGGTCTGTGAGCCGAGCCAGGCCTCGCCGGGGTCCCGAAGCAGCCAGTAAGTGATGTGTCAGGGACCACTCTGGTCAACGCCATTAAAGTCTAAGGAAAGCACTGAGTTACTGACCTGACGTGAAGTGACTTCGAGCTGAGGCTTCTTGCCCCGCCATGGAGCAGGTCTCTTCTCACTTCCTGCATCCTGGGTCCCAGGTCCCACCGGATCCTGCACCTTCTGGTCTTTGGTAGGGGGAGGAGGGTCTCTGTCCCTCGCTCAAAGGTAAAGGAACATGTGGGTTGAGGGTGATAGACGGGCTGATGAGCAGAGAAAGGCAAGGGTGAAGTCTGCCTTGGGGAGGGCTGCCCTGCTCAGAGGCTGGTGCACTCACCCCGCCCTTAACATTCTGTTTCCCAGATCAGAGGATGTGGTTTGGAGTAGCCCTTCTCTTGGTACAAGTCCTGTGAAGTCACTGAAGATCATGTCATAGGGAAAGTATGAATAGACCCCAGCTGAGAAGTATCCCATTCTATAAGCATGGCCCTGCTGTGTGTGATCTTAACAGAATGATTTTTAGATGGCAACTCCCCCAAATCTGGGGATTTCAGTCAAGGGTAATTCTGCCCTCTAGGACATCTTTGGGTGTCATGACTGGGGGAGCAGGTACTGCTGGTATCAGTGGGTGGAGACCAGGGGTGCTGATCAACACCCTGCACTGCCCAGCAAGCCCGCATGACCCAGGATTACCTACGGCCTCAATAGGAGAAAAAGGAGGGGAGACGAGGACTTTTTCAACAGCTCCTGCCCTCTTTCCAAGCCATCTTCCAATTTGTTCCTGAGGCTAAAGACACATCCTAGCATCAGAGAGTGACCCGGCCCCAAATGTCCACAGCACTACCCGAGGTGGGGGGACCCTGCCTAGAGGAAGGTGACTCTTCAGAGACAGACAAGATCAGTGATAGGACGATGGCTTGTTGCCTTTGGCAGTCAAGTGTGGCATGCTTGCTTGAATCAAGGATTCAGAAGACACAGTGACCGTAAACCTGTGGGGTCAGGGCCAGGTGTCCAATGAGGGAGCAGGACTTTCCCCAGCTCTGTGTCATCAAAATATGACTTGGTATTAAAATTAATTAATATCTAATTCATATTTGTAGAGGATTATTTTTTTTTTTTAAAGATGACTGGTAAGGGGATCTTAACCCTTGGCTTGGTGTTGTCAGCACCACGCTCAGCCAGTGAGCAAACTGGCCATCCCTATATAGGATCTGAACCTATGGCCTTGATGTTATCAGCACCGCACTCTCCCAAGTGAGCCATGGGCCGGCCCTGTAGAGAATTATTAAAGCAAATGTACTTCACAGGGCCTGGTTTTCCAAAGCCTTGCAGTTTCAAATATTGACCTTGCAAAGGACAGGAAATTTTCCTCAGGCTTAAGTCTCTGGTGTAAGATAAAGATTTGTGGCACAGCAAGGCTGCTGGCTCAGAGACAGACTAGTTATGTAAAGTTACTAAAAAGCTGCTGGAGGGAAAAGGAATGTTTATTAAGTCAAGCCTTTGTTGCAAATTGCATTACAGAAGGTCACCTTGCTTGTCTTACTGAATGTTATCAGCTTCCATTGTTAAACTTGTCAAACTGCACTTAGCAAAACCCCACCTGTGTCTCTTTCTGTAACTTGCTGGTCTGGTGAATAAATGCAGGAGGAGGACCCCGATTCATGGTTAATTTCCAAAATGGAAGGAATGCTTCACACTTGAGGGTCCTGGGATATTAACCTCTTTCTGGGGCTTCTCACTGCTCAAAAGAGATGGGCTTTAAGTAATCTTTGGTGGCTCCGTCACCCAGGGGAAAAGGGGTGACAAATCCATGGGAGACAAAGCAACACATATTTATCAAATAGCATCTACTGCTAAGCCCTGGGGTGAGCACCAGGGGCCCAGGAGAAAACCAGACAGTGAAGTTCCCCAGCCCCACAGAGCTTCAAGCCCAGAGTATGGCACCAATCCAAGTGATTGCAGGTGATTACAGGTTAGATACAGAAGGTATGGCACGGTAAGGGACCCGAACAGGAAGGGCTCTCTGAGGAGGGGACATTGTACCTGAGACCAGGGGAAGAGCATGTGTGCTCAGTGGGCCGCTGACTCCCAGTAAGCAACAAGGATGCAGCGGAGCCAGGGACATGGGAAGGAGGAAGGGCAGGAGAGCCGGGGGCCAAGACAGCTCGGAAAAGTCGCTTCTCATGGAAGCCAAAGGGAAGGGACAATCTTTTCTTCCTCTACGGGAAATAACCCAGTTGTTTCTGGCAGTTTCTGCATCCGTGCCTCCAGCCCTCTCCCTACACCCACGGCACCCTTTCTTGTTACCCTGCAATCTGTGGGCTCAGTCAGTTGAGTTCGCCACAAACAATCTATGCAACGATGGTGGGAGGGAAAACAGAAAGAGAAAGTTATTTAATTCTTGTGTGTGAACATTAAGTCATATGGATCAGTTCACATGTCATACAGTACAGTTGATGTATTTAAATGTAATACACACACACAGGAGAGCCTCACGCAGCTCTGTTTCTCTGTGTCTGTGTACCTGTGCGTCTGTGTACCTGTGTGTCTGTGTACCTGTGCGTCTGTGTGTACCTGTGTGTCTGTGTACCTGTGCGTCTGTGTACCTGTGCGTCTGTGTGTACCTGTGCGTCTGTGTGTACCTGTGCGTCTGTGTACCTGTGCGTCTGTATGTACCTGTGCGTCTGTGTATCTGTGCGTCTGTGTACCTGTGCGTCTGTGTGTACCTGTGCGTCTGTGTGTACCTGTGCATCAGTGTACCTGTGTGTCTGTGTACCTGTGTGTCTGTGTACCTGTGCGTCTGTGTGCATCTGTGCGTCTGTGTGTACCTGTGCGTCTGTGTGTACCTGTGCGTCTGTGTATCTGTGTGTCTGTGTACCTGTGCGTCTGTGTGTACCTGTGCGTCTGTGTGTACCTGTGCGTCTGTGTACCTGTGCGTCTGTGTGTACCTGTGCGTCTGTGTGTACCTGTGCGTCTGTGTACCTGTGCATCTGTGTGTACCTGTGCGTCTGTGTGTACCTGTGCGTCTGTGTGTACCTGTGCGTCTGTGTGTACCTATGTGTCTGTGTACCTTTGTGTCTGTGTATGTATCTATGTATCTACCAAAAACCATGGGTTCATAATAACACCTCCGAGGCCCATCCAGCACCCCAGGTTCTTGCTGCCCTTCCCCCCTTTTATTATGTTTCACGTCCTCCTCCCACTGAAATTTGACTCTCTTCGTCCACAATACATGTGCTCAGTTCAGAGTTTTAGACTTGCTAATCCACACTTCTGTGAAAAAGAACCCTTCCGACTAGAACGTGACATTTGTGGCCCGCTCTCATTGCCGTCGCTGAGGGGACATATCCAAACACCGTGCTCAAGTGTCCTTGGGCTAGTTTTTGCCTCTCTTCCTTATGGTCATGGAAGAAAAATGAAAAACAGTTTGGTTTGTTTGTCTCTGTATTTCGTAAAAGGATTTCCCCTCTACCACTTTCCATTTGTAGCAAGTTTATTTGCTTTTCTTTCCATTAACTGGTGACCACAGTAAGAATTGTAGAGAAAGCTGTGCTGCAGGTGGTGACCAGCTGTCCCTAGCCCGTCATAACCAACCTGATTATCTTCCGCTTTGTCCTTCTGGCATATCTTGTCTCAAAAGTAAGCTGATGTCTGTCTGTCTTCTCTCTCACTTCCCCTTTCTGACACAAAAGTGAGCATACGACAGATATCTTTATTTTT